GGAGTTGGTGCGCTCCCCTGCCCTGGGGGTCTTCAAGAGGAGGTTAGATATGCATCTATCTGGGGTCATCTAGACCCAGCACTCTTGCCTGCCTATGCAGGGGGTCGGACTCGATGATCTATTGAGGTCCCTTCTGACCTGAACAGCTATGGATCTATGAATCTGACACGGATTCAGAGCGATCGCGACACATTGGAGGACTGGGCTGCAAGGAATCTCAGGAGGTTCAACTAGGACAAGTGCAAAGTCCTGCACTGAGGAGGAGGAATCCCCTGCAAGCTGGGGGTGACGGGCTGGGCAGCCGCTCTGCAGAAAAGGACCTGGGGGGACAGGGGACAAGAAGATGAACAGGAGCCAGCAGTGTGCCCTCGGTGCCAAGAAGGCCACCAGCATCCCGGGCTGCATCGGTAGGAGCGTTGCCAGCAGATGGAGGGCAGTGATTCTTCCCCTCTATTCAGCACTGGGGAGGTCACATCTGGAGTGCAGTGTCCAGCTGTGGCCCCCACTACAGAAAGGATGTGGACACGTTGGAGAGAGTCCAGTGGAGGGGAACGGCAATGGTTGTGGGGCTGGGGGACAGGAGTGGTGAGGAAAGGCTGAGGGACCTGGGCTGATTGAGTCTGGAGAAGAGAAGACTGAGGAGGGATTTGATAGCAGCCTTCATCTCCCTGCAGGGGGGCTGCAAAGAGGATGGAGCTGGGCTGGTCTCAGCGGGAGCAGATGGCAGGACAAGGAGCAATGGGCTCAAGCTGCAGCAAGGGAAGTTGAGGTTGAATATTAGGAAAAACTCTCTCACTAGGAGGGTAGTAAAACACTGGCACAGGCTCCCCAGAGAGGTGGTGCAGTCTCCATCCCTGGAGGTGTTTAAGGCCCAGATCGACACAGCCTCGGCTGGGCTGATGTAGCTGGGGCTGGGGCTGGTGTGAGCAGAGGTTGGACTAGATGTGACTTCCTGAGCTCCCTTCCAGCCACAGTTGTGTGATTCTGGGGGTGACAATGGCCCATGAGCTGGACTGAAGCCCGCAACGTGCTTTTTGTTGCAACGAAACCGCAGCAGCCTGCTGGGCGGTCTGAGCAGCAGTGTCACCTGCACAGCAAGGGCGGTGATTCTCCTGCGGTGTCCAGCCCTGGGGAGGCCTCCCCTGGAGTCCTGTGTCCTGCGCATCAAGAAGGACGGGGGAGATTGGAAACCCCGAGTCCAGAGCAGGGCAACAAGAATGAGCAGGGGGCCGAGAGCCGAGTGCTGAGGAGGGGTGGGAGAGCGAGGGGTCTCCGGTCTGGAGAGGAGAAGCCTGCAGGGCGGGTACAGATGGAGACGGGCTTCTCTCTGTGGCTGCTGGGGACAGGACAAGGAGCAATGGCCTTAAGGGGACACTGAGGCTGGAGATGAGGGAGGTGCTGCCTGAGGGGTTCAGGCCCCTGCAGACATGGGGGAACCTCCGTGCCTGGGCGCTGCCAACAGCAGGTGGGACAGGAACTCACCGGGATGGTTCAGTCACGGAGGATCCTGCCTGGAGCAGGGGCTGCCCTTGCGAGGTCCCTTCCGCCCGACTCCCCCGGGATCCTGCGCTTTACGCTGCAGGGGCAGAGGGTCTTTGGTGGGAGTCCTGGAGCCTGATGGATGGGCCAGGCATTGATCCCCGCTGGCCTTGGCTGGAGGACTGGAAACCAGGGCCCAGGCTGCTCCTTGCAGAAGCACGAGCGCCTGCCGTCCTGCCCCGGGACCAGGCAGCTGCAGCGATGAGCCCCGTGCAGCCCCGCGGGGGATGCCAGTCTACCCGGCTGAGGACGGACCCGCAAGCAGGAGCAAAGGTGCCCGCAGCCCCCGGACACACAGCACCCCCTCGAGCCTTTGGCTTCCAGCAACGAGGCACCGCCCCAGCCGCCCCGTTAGGGACATAGAAAATAAATTTTATTCTCCATTTTAAATTTCTACACGGTAGCTGCGTCACTAACCATGATCCTCGTGAGAAGAACGCAGCTGACGCTTCACCCCGACACAGACACGACAGAGATCAGCTTTTGTCCGTAGCCAGAGAGTGTGATATTGTTACTGCACAGAGGAGGGAGGGGGGGGAGAAAAAAGGGACCTACAGTTTTTGCTCTTTTCTCTTTTCTTTCTTACTCAACAGAAATAAAAATAAAATTCCAGAGAGGGCCCCTCCCCTGCTTCCTGCCTCCGGGAGCAGCGGCCACAGGCGGGCAGGCGGGCGGCACGGGCCGTCGGCTCCCGGAGGGATGGGGCAGGAGGGCACAAGGCAGGTGTGAGCCCAGTGGTGCGAGAAGCCGGAGGTTGCGACGTGAGTTCAGGGCTGCACCCCGGCAGCTGCGGGGACTGGCGAGCCCAGAGCGTTCGGAGAGGAGATGACGGGCGAAGCGGCCAGGCTGCCCATGGGCTGGGACGCGGACATCGAGGTAATACCTACGTAAGAACATAAGAGCTGAGGTTTACTGGGTCAGGCCCCGGGTTTGTCCTTCCCCAGCCCGTGTCCCACGGGGCAGAGAGCGGAGCTGGGGGGAGCGGGACTGGGGCCGAGCAGGGTTTTCCCCCGTTCCTCTCCCTGCAGCCTCCAGCACTGAGGTCCAGGCAGGGCCGATGCGGAGGCCGGGCCCCTCGCTCCCTGCCCCAGAGCCACCGATCGATGCCCCTTTCCTCCACGCACGTGTCCAAGTCCTTGTGAATGTGGCTGAGCTCCCGGCTCCCACCACCCCTGGGGCCACGAGTCCCCCTTTAGTGCCATGTTGGGGGGAAAAGACCTCCCTGGTGTTAGCATTAAACTGCCGCCTGCTCGGTCCACGTGTGACCTCCCATCCTTGTCTGGTGACAGAGTCAGTAATAAATCCCAGGGACTTTCTCTTCCCCATTGAGTGGGTTGTGAACTCTTCTCCTGCCCCCCTCAGGCATCTCTTCTCTAGACCACCCAGGCCTGGCCTCACTCATCTCTCCCTAAGCATGTCGCTCATCATCCTTGTGCCCTCCTCTGCATCTTCCCCAGGTCTCCCATCTCCTGGAGGTGCAGGGCGCAGAGCTGGGCACGGGATCCACGGGGTGGACACCCCGTGGGTTTATAAAAGGGTACTGTGACACTTTCCGCTTTGTTTACAATCCTCTTCGCTGTCCCTGACATGGTCTCTGCCTGCTCGATGGCTGCTGAGCTGATGTTTGTAGCGACCCGTGCCCAGTGCCCATACAGGACAGCGAGGATGGGCAGGCCGCTGGGGATGGAAGTACCAGAACGTCCCCCCCGTGGAAGCCAGGCGCCCAGTGCTGCATGGCTGTGACCTCCAACCCTGCAACACTGCCCACAGCTTCCCAGTCCCTTCCCCAGCCCAAGAGGCTGCTAAAGCCCTGCTGCGAAGGTTGATGCTCCCCCAGGCTGCCAAGGAGGTGCCACCTGGCTGGAGCGATGCCAGGGGGTTCCCCAGATGCTCTCTGAAGGTCCCCTCCAGCCCCATTTCTTTATGATCTCATTCCCCCTTCCTGGGGGAGGGCACCAGGCCAGCAGTCTGGCACTGATGCCTTGGCCCTGCTAGTAAAGGGGGCCTGGTGCCCGGAGCCCTCCTTGCTACCCACCGAGGCGGTCCGGGAGGCGGGAACCCACCTGCCAACATACTGGAGGCGCTGACGGGTGTGTTGCTGGCTGCCAGGCCAGCTGAGGGGCCCATCCGTGCAGGGTCTTTCGCTATGGGATCTGCCAGCAAAGAGCAGAGAGAAATGTCAGCAAATGCAAGGCTCCCAGTCCACGGAGGGACACAACAGCTCTCAGCCTCCAGAGCCAGGCAGCCAGGGGAGCAGGGTCCTGGTGGAGACAGCAGCCGCAGAGGGGTGGGCAGCTGCCGGGACAGAGAAGAGGCCGGGGCGATGCTGGGAGCCCGGGCACAGGCTGCAACATACAGCTACACGGCCTACGTGACCAGAGCGCTACATGAGGCAGGGAGCTGGGCCTCAGCAGCATGGATGCGGCCTTGCTGGAGGATGAGGGTCCCCGGCACGGCCCTAGGAGCCTGTGGGCTGGGACATGCTACCTCTCTGGGCCCATCGGTGTCCAGGCAGCTGGGGAATGGGGCAGGGACTGGGCCCGGGGGCTGAGAGGCGCTGAAGGCCACGACCGAGCCACGGGGGAGGGTGTGGGAGCTGCGGCCTACGCACAGAAGTAGGGGTGCTCCATGGCCTCCCGGGCGGTGAGCCGTGTCTGGTGGTCGTAGCGCAGCAGCTTGTCCAGGAAGTCGAGTGCCTCCGTGCTCACCAGGTGCTGGTTCTCGCTGTGCACGAAGCGCTCCCATCGCTTGCGGGAGTGTCTACGAGGGGCAGAGCCAACCTGAGCCCCCGTCCCTGTGTCCCCCCGTGACAAGCACCCGCTACCCTGTCGGGCCAAATCAGGAGCCTGCTTTCTGGAGCCAGGCTAGGAGGACGCTCCCTGCACAGCAGGGCTACGGGCTCCTTACCCTGGAGCACAGAGGCTGGCCAGGGCCAGGGACCAGCTAGAAGTCACTGCAAGAACCCGAATGGCTGAAGGGGCCGCGTGCTCGCTGGTGAGAGCTGGCTCGACTGGTGGGAAGACAGTGCCCAGCTCCGGGTATTAGAGCCTCCCTGTCTGCTCTGCCCACAGCCGCCTCCAGGAGCCCATGCGAGTAGCGGGGAGGGTCCCTACCTCTGTACTGGACTGGGCATGAAAACAACACCCCCCTGCACACCCCCCAGCGACACAGTGGCCAGGGTCCTTGTGTGTGGGGCCAAATACACCCCCATGGTTCAACGGCTCCACCCCAGGCAGCGAGAGGCTGGAGGCACAGACACGGGCTGGGACACGGCCGGGACTGCCTGACTATGGCAGGGAGAAGCCAGGCCCGGGCACCCCAAGGGGCCTCCCGGGAAGAGAGCCGGGTCTCTGACCACGCCGGCACCCACCTGCCGAGGATGTCATTGAAGCGGGGGTCCAGCTCGATGTTGTACTTGTCGATGTAGTCGTACAGGTCCTCCGTGCCCAGCACTTTCGCGATCCGCACGAGCTGTGGGGGTGGAGAGCAGAGCACTGAGTGCGTCCCACCAGGCTGGCCCAGCACCCATGACCCAGCCGCCAGGTGGGAAGCATGGAGCTCCAGGCCAGGCCTCTCCCTGCTGCCTTCCCTGCTGGGTACTAGAAACCTTTGCTCCTCCAGGCCCTCGCAGGCAAGATAACCCGGGGCTCAGGGCACCGGCATGTGCGGCCCAAGCTGATGGGTTCCCTCGCCTGTGTCTGCCTGTGATACCACATCTTCAGGGCGCTGCCACCCACCAACCCCCCGAGTTCAAGAACGTCCCAATCCCTGGTGGGCTCGGCCCTACTGATCCGGGGGACTGGAAAACGGGAGGGGGTGGACGGCTGCGGGGAGCCCTTCCCTTCTGCATGGCTGAGTCTTAGGTTCAAGCAGCAGTGCAGAGGTCTGTGGGATGGGGTCCCTGGTAAGGACTGCAGGTTCAGCATGCACCTGTCTGGGCCCTGCCCGTGCTCCCAGCTGAGCCAGGTGGATGGACATCCAGGCTGACCGACCTCCCAAGCAGGGGTGGAGGGGCACACAAAGCCCCTGGCAGAGGGGAGAGGCCAGGGTGGAGGAGTACGGCCCACAGCAAGTGGGTGTCTGGGGTGTGACACCATTGTCCCACTCTGCAGCGGCTGCAGACTGGCTGTGACGGCTGGCCACTGTCCTACGCCTGCCTCTGAGTGCGGCGCTGCAGGAGCCGGGATTTCGGGGGAGGCAGAGGACGAGGCCCGCGGCTCACCTGGTCGTAGTTGTCGTGGCCGTGGAAGAAGGGCTCCTTCCGGAAGATCATGCTGGCCAGCATGCAGCCTAAGCTCCACATGTCCAAGCTGTAGTCGTACATCTGGAAAAGCCGGGGGGAGAGAGGCGGGAGGTGGCAGCAGCTCCAAGCCCCGGGGGCCAGAGGGCACGGGCCTATGAGAGAACACGCCCCAGTCTCCAGCTCCAGGGACCCGGGGCCCTGCTCCCAGCAGATTCCCGGCAGCTTGGCCGATGGCTCTGGTTCCAGGGGCCGCTGGCCCAGGGCATCCGGGCTCTGGGTCTCACGGGCCCTTCTACAGCCCACAGGTTGCCAGGAGCAGGAGACAGCCAGCCAGGCATGCTGCACAGCCCTCCCATCCCTGTGTCCGGGGGGGCCCTTCCAGCTGTGTTGCACCCACGTACGCTCTCCGCTTCCCCCTCACTTAGGCCTTTGGCAGGGCCTCACCCGGCTGGACTGTCTCAACACCTCGCTGGGTGTCTGGTCTCCCTTTGGCAAGTGCATCATCTGCATCTGCACGCACAGGACTGCTCTGCTGCGTGACGTACCTGGTAGTCTACCAAGAGCTCTGGTCCCTTGAAGTATCTGGAGGCTACCCGAACGTTGTACTCCTGCCCGGGGTGGTAAAACTCAGCCAGCCCCCAGTCTATCAGGCGGAGCTGCGGGGAGAGAAGGAGAGAGTGAGGGCATGCACCATTACAGCCCACTGTAGCACAGGGGTCCCGGCGCCGCTGCTTGCTTAGTGATATTGCCACCAGATCTGGTGATTTTTGGGGGTAGGGTGACAACAAAGTGTCTGCATTAAGAATCCTAATCACTTCGCTGCTCGCAACACTTGGTCACTGCTGAGGGCTTTAGCTCTCAGCCCAAGGCAGGGACCTCTAGCCACCATGTGTTGGTGACATCTGCCAGGGTCAGGACAGAGACCACTGCGCCCGAGCGCACTCAACGTATGGGCTTGTTCAGACAGGGATGTTGCTGCCCCAAGCAGGGGACAGCCTGGATGAGCTGAGTTCCCTTCTAGCCCCACTGCTGTAAACTGTGCCGACAAGCCTGCAATGCAGGGGAGCACTCAGCGAACAGATACAGGCAGTGGGGAAAAAGATCTGGCCAAGCCCACGCAGCCAGCTGGGGGCAGTGGACACTGAAGGAAGCGGGTAGAGAAGTGGTGAGTCCGGGCGGGTGAATTTCCCAGCCCCGGCAGGAGGGAGGGGAGGAGCCGAAGAGCCTGGGGTCCAGGACAGGGTCAACGTTCCCGCCAATCCTGCCGGGGCAGCCTACAGCCCTTGGAAGTGGCTCTGCCCAGGGGGGCTTTGAAGTCCGGTGCATTCGGGTCCCAGGCGGCGGGTCACTACAAAGGCCCTGAGAGCAATCTAACGCTCCATTGACAAGCCCGGGGTTCCTAACAAACAGGTGACAAATAAAAGGTGGTTTACGAGAGGCAGGGGTGGGTTTTATTGACACCTGCATCCCCAAACAAACAGGGCACAGCTGCAAATCCACACCCCCGCCCTGGCCGGCGTCTGCGGGGAACCCGCGCCAGCAAAGGCAGGGCTGTTTCTGGCCCTGTGCTCGCTGCCTGTGTCAGACCAGCCCTGGGAGCTTCCAACTGCAGCTGTGTCGCTCGTGGGAGGAAGAGGGACCTGATGTGAACACGGAGGCGCCAAGGCAGTACCGGAGAAAGGGCTGTGAACCTCCTAGCCCCTTGAGGATGGGGAGGCTCGGAGAGGCATTAAGGCAACAAGGTGCAGGTTTGCAGCCGAGCTAGCGGAGCCCAGCTGACCAAGCGGCTGCTCCATTTATAATCAGGACAGGTGAGGTGAGCACAAGCCCCAGGCGGATGAGGAGACACGCGAGTGGTGCCGGTCCCCACATCTCCATAGGACGCAGCAGAATGAAAAGGCTCAGACTTCCATTTGAAAAGGAGAAGGCTGAGGCAGGAGAGGACCGAGCTCTATATAATCAGGAAGGCCGTGGATCAAGGGAACAGGGAACTGTTCCCAGAGCACTCGACCCATGGGGCACCCACTGAAAGGAGCAGGAGGCAGGTTTAACACTAAGAGACAGGACTTTTGTGAAGCAATGTGCAGTGAACGTGTGGGATTCACTGGTCCAGGAGGGGGTGAAGGCAGGGAGCAGAGCCAGGCTCAACAAGGGACTGGGTAAATCCATGGCTGACAGACCCATCAACGCCCGTTGAACAGCCTGGGGGGGAGACATTTCCTCTGGCATTGAGAACCTGACGATGGTGGATGCCAGAGAAGGTACCGAATAGGGGACGGATCACTCGAGATCCTGTTCAGTGCCCCCCCTCTATAGCATCCACCCCTGCCACAGTCAGGGACAGGACACTGGGTGAGATGGACCACGGGTCTGACCCAGCGTGGCCCTGCTGATGCTCTTGTGAGCGAGTGTGCAGGAGTAGCCATGTGGGCATGTCCTGTGTGGGCAGAAGCCTCCCTGCTGCTTCTCATGGATGTTGCAGGAGGGCGGGCTGCCTCCGCTCTAACTCAACCCGCTCAGCAGCAAGGATCTAAACCGCGGTTGTTCCCTGGTGCTGCCCAGCAGCATGACTAGCAGCACCCGTGGGCACCGGCTGGAGGAGAGGGCGCATCCAGCTGGGGACGCTCAGAGGGGGCAGCCCCCACTGTACCTTTCTGTGCTCGTGGTCGATCATGACGTTGTGTGGCTTGACGTCTCGATGCATGACGCCCATACTGTGACAGTAATCCAGGGCCTGCGGACAGGACAGAGGCGCGGTCAGACCCCAGCTGCACGTGGAGCCAAGCACGAGGTGGCTGGAGCGGGAAAGACCCAGAGCTCGTGGGGGAATCAGCCACTGCAGTGAGGCCTGAGGGCTCTACACGCTTCTCCCCACCTGTGTTGGGCACAAGCCCCCACCCGTGGCCCCTGGGACAGGGAGTGCTGAAGGGGGCCCTGGCCAGCCATGGCTGGACAGACAATGCCTCACACTAGCACTGATTTCCCCCTCCAAGTGTCCGAGAAGATCCCCTGCTCCATCACGGCTCCCCATGCCAGCTGCTTGCATGGAAAGCCAAGAGGAGCCAGCAAGCAGGTCAGCACCGAGGGGCGCGGAAAGGGAAGCAGAGACTCTGGGACCTGCACGTCCTATGCAACGTGAGCATGGAGCTTGACGGCGCCTTCCCCTGCCCCGGCTGGGATCGGCCTGCCAGACGCTGCTGCAAGGAGGGGCTCGGGGGCCAAGCAGCTGCCATTCCCACCCCACTGCCTTCACGTGAGGAGCAGGGAGGTCCCAGGAGGGTGGGCGAGGACTCCTGTCCCCAGGGGAGCTTACCTTGAGGATTTCGTACATGTAGAACCGGATGTCAAAGTCCGAGAGCGTCTGGTACAATTGCTGTGGGGAGGGATCGCAGGGGCGGTCAGTGAAATGCTACAGGCACTCGGCGCGTGGCACTATACTGGCTCGTTGAGACGGGGCCCTGCTGTCACAGCCAGGGACAGCAGCACCACGGCCCATCGGGCACATGGCAAAATCAGGTGCCCCACTAGCCCCCACTGTAATTGCAGTCTCTCTCTCTCTCTCTCGCACACAGCTTCTGTAGTGAGACCTCAGGCCCCGGCGCTCTAGGACTGGCCAGCCCACTGGGGATATCCACTGGTGGGTCCCAAGGAGAGACATATTCTCTCAGAGGACTAGATCCTGGTCAGTCCAGGCTCTGCAAGGTTGTATCCTCCCTCCAAAAGACCACAGTGACGGCTGTGTGCCCCAGGAGAGACTGACCAGGAACCATCAGTGACCCACAAGAGGAGCTGAACCCACAAGCCAGCCGCACCTCCTCACCCTGCCATGAAGTGGCCGTGGAACATGGCCCAAGATGCCCCAGACCCAGAATAGGGTGGGATCAGACCCAGGACGTGGAGGGAGGATGGGAAAAAGCTACAGGACTCCTCCTGCCAGACCCGGAGAGGGCAGGATGGCATCAGTGGGACAGTCCTCACGAGAGGAGGTCTCAGGGTAGCATCAAGGAGACAAGTGTGCGATCAACAGTGAAAACAAAATTCGTGGGGAGAACCAGGAACCCAGGGTGGAGAGGCCCAGCTAACAGCCTCCCCGTGCACTCGTCCACCAGAAGCTCACAACGCAGCACTCAACCAGCTGAGGTGTCAACAGATCTGGAGTGACGCTTGCGCACACGGCCACCGTCAGATGCAGGCACAACCCTGGCTGGGCCGGCGCCTGAGCAGCAGGCAGGCCGGGCTGCTGGGACCCCACGAGGCAGCAAATCCTACAGATCACCCCTCAAAATGTAACATCCCCCAGTTTACAGCAATGACCCACGAGGGAGCTGGTGACAGTGGGAAGGTCCCAGTCACCATGTGCTCTGGGCTGGGCTAGGCTCAGCTGTAGGGCCCCGGCTGGCTAGGACCCATCCATCCCTACCCGAGGCTGCGTGGGGCTGGACACAAGTTGAATCCTGGGTGGGAAGCCCCCAACAAGCTTCCGTTTCCACAGCACATGCCCTCCCATGCTGGGGGGTGCTGGGACTGCTCTCCGCATCGGCCTGAAATCACAAGGACGACCTGCAGCAGGCTGGTGCCACTCACCTTGAAGTCCGTGTTGTTGACATGCTCGAAGACGAGGGCAGGCGTGCGAGACTGCAGGTCACCGAGGCACAGGGAGGAAAGGAAGCAGGTTAGTCCTGCAGGCAGGTCGCAGAGCCGCCGGGGCTCGGTGACAGGCCCCCACGCAGCAGCTCCTTGCCCCACAGCCAGCGTCCACCTCTGGGGCTTCCCACCCAAAGGGGCCCTGGGAGTTTCACCAGGCAGGAAACTGGAGGGGAACCCGCTAGGCCCGCGTGCTGGGCTCTGCGTGCACTGCATGCACACGTCCACTTCACTGGCCTAGCTTGGTCCATCGCTCCCCGGGGCTGCTGCCACTGCCCACCCGCTGCAGCCCTCGGCCGTGCCTGTGCCTCACCACGGGGTCTTTGACGATATCTAGCAAGCTGATGATATTGGGGCCTCCGCGCAGATTCTCCAGGATCTTGATTTCTCGCTTGATTTTCTTCTTCTTTACTGGCTACAGAAAGAAAGAGGAGGAGGAGTGAGCAGCAGTCAGGCCTCTCTGGCCCCCTGCCCGCATGGCCTGGGCAGAGGACAGGAACTCAGCCAAGGAGGGAGGTGGGTCACAGAGATTCATGGTGAACCAGGCGTTGCTCAGAGCTGGGGCACCCCGATCGGTCTGCGCTCTCCCCTAGGAAGGCACCTACAGTTACTCATGCCTTCTGGGGCCACGGGAGCAATGACCGGACATGAGACTGCTCTGCCGGGTGCTGTGCTGGCTCACCCTGGGGGGGTAGCTGAGGCTCCTCTTGGAGGTGGGGCCCTGCACTGCTACCAGCCCAGGGGCTTCAAGCACCTGGGTCCCAACTACTGGGGTTGCTGCACTGCTTGTGGGATGGAGGGACGAGAGGGGGAATGTCTCTGACCTCCCAAAGTCCCCACGAACGCCCATGCGATACCAGAGGGAGGCAGCAAGCATGAGAGTGGAGGGCAGCACCACGGGGAGAACAGAAGTCGTTCTGGCCAAGCGTATCGTGGCCAAACCCACCCTGGATCTCAGCAGGAGCCGGGCCCTGGCCTCTGGATGGCACACGCAGCCCTGTGCAAGGGACCGGCCCCTCCACACCTCCTGGCAGGGCAGAAGCTGAGTGGAAACGGACCCCCCCAGCCACAGAAGCCATGGCAGTGAGTGCAGAGTAAATGAGACGCAAACAAGGGCACACGTGGTCTCAATGCATGGAACCTCCTTCCGCCTGCTCCGCTCATCACAGCAGGTCTCTGCCAGGGCTGGGGGGAGGGAGGAGAGGCAACAAAAAGCTGCCCACGACTCCAACCATCCCCAGCCCGGCAGCCGCCCCGCAGTGGTCAGCGGCACCCCGCGAAGGCCCGGGAAACAGCCCGACGCACCCACCTTGAGGATTTTCACCACAACTTTCTCATTGTTGGTGATGTTAATGGCTTCAAAGACTTCACTGTATTTGCCGCGCCCGAGCTTCCGCACAAGCTGGTAGTCATCTTGGTTGCTGCACAAGGAGGAGAGAAGGGAAGGTGAAGGGGGGGAGACCGGGTCAGAACCCAGTGTCGTTTCCAGAGAGCGGCTCTCCCAACGACTGGGCAGGTCAGGAGGCTCGGGGGGCTGTTATGTAGCCTACGGAGCTCCAGGAATTGACCCCCATACTCTAGGACTGGCGACGAGCTGGCTGGCACGGCAAAGAAACCCTACCAGCCAGGGCACCCCTTTCTTCCCTACAGGAGAGTTAGAGAGCTTTACAGATCACCGCACAAGCTAACAGGGAATGCATCCCCGTCACCAAAATTAAGCCAGCTCTGGAACGGGAGAGTCTGCAGGCAGCTCGCAAGGTCGCTCGCGTGTCCGTAATGAAATGCGAGGACCATCTCAGGGAGGAAGAAAACAGTGACACATTTGGACTCCGGCCAGAGCCCCGAGGGGAAATGCATTCTGCGCCGAGCAAAACGCCGCTGGCAGTTCACAATCTCGGCGCGCTCGCCTTTGGGAAATGGGTGAAGCCGGGATGCCGAGTTCTGCCCCAGCTGCACTGCTGGGGGCTCTGGGCAAGTTGCTCCCACTCTCTGTGCTTCAGTTTCCCCAGCTCAACCCGGCTCTGGGAGGTTGTAAAGGACGCTTCGCTCCAAGCCAGGGTGGATTAGATTTATACCAAATCGATTTAAATCTTGATTTAATCACTGGCCAGGAAGCCTCAATTTAATCATTGTTTTCTACAAAAAAGTGCATTCTTTTTGTGTGATATCCTTTACTCATTTAACTTCTGAAACTTTGCACTTTTTTGAGAGAGGCAAGGGCTTGACTCTGGGCACACAAACTTGCAGAGAGACAAAAGGGCTGATGGGTGGGTCATCAGGTCTGTTATCTCTCACCTCACATATGTTACCTCTGGAGACACAAATCAAGTCTGCGAATCATAGAATCATAAATCCATAGAAAATGAGGTTTGGAAAGGACTTTGGGAGGTCACATGTAGTCCAAACCCTGCTCCAAGCAGGACCAGCCCCAACTACATCATCCCAGACAAGGCTTTGTCCAGACTAGTCTTCAAAATCTCCAAGGATGGAGACTCTACCACCTTGCTGGGGAGCCTGTTCCAGCGTTTCACTGCCCTCCTCATGAGAAAATTCTTCCTAATATCCAATCTCGACTTCCCTTGCTGCAGCTGGAGCCCATTGCTCCTTGTCCTGCCATCTGCCCCCACGGAGACCAGCCCAGCTCCATCCTCTTTGCAGCCCCGCTGCAGGGAGGTGAAGCTGCTATTCAATCCCCCTCGCTCTTCTCTTCTCCAGACTCAATCAGCCCAGGTCCCTCAGCCTCTCCTCACAAGTCATTTCACCCAGCTCCCAAACTATTTTTGTTGCTGGACTCTCTCCAACGTGTCCACATCCTTGCTGTAGTGGGGGCCACAGCTGGACACAGGACACCAGACGTGTCCTCCCCAGTGACTAGGGGGGAAGAATCACTGCCCTCGAATTGCCGGCAACGCTCCTACCGATGCAGCCCGGGATGCCGGTAGCCTTCTGGGCACCAAGGGCACACTGCTGGCTCATCTCCATCTTCTTGTCCCGTCACCCCAGGGCATTTTCTGCAAAGCTGCTGCCCAGCCCGTCGCCCCCAGCCTGCCCCGGTGCAGGGGATTGCTCCCTCTCAAGTGCAGGACTTTGCACGTGTCCTTGTTGAACCTCCTGAGATTCCTTTTGTCCCAATCCTCAAATGCGTCGTGATCGCTCTGAGTCTTAGCCCGACCTCCAGCGTATTTACTCCCTCAGCTTGGTGTCATCTGCAACCTTGCAGAGGGTGCATCCAGCCCATCTTCCAGGTCGTAGATGACAATGCTGAACAAAAGTGGTCCCAAGACCAATCCTTGGGGCACGCCACTTGACTCCAGCTGCCAACTAGACATGGAGCCATTGATTACTACTCTCTGAGCCTGATGCTCCTGTTTTCGATCCATTTTACAGTCCATTCATCCAGGCAGCTTGCCTGCAATAATGCTGTGGGAGACCGCATCAAAACCCTTGCTAAAAATCAAGGTTTATCACATCCACCCGTATCCCCACATCCACAGAGCCAGTCACCTTGTCATAGAAGGCATCAGGCTGGGCAGGCAGGACTTGCCCCTGGTGAATCCATGCTGACTTTTCCTCATCACTGTCTTCCCCTCCAAGTCCTTGGAAATGGATTTCCTGAGGACCGGCCCCATGATTTCTCCAGGGACTGAGGTGAGGCTGCCTGGTCTGGCGTTCCCTGGATCCTTTTTCCCTTTCTTAACCATGGGCACTATGTTTGCCCTTTTCCAACCACCCGGGACCTCTCCTGATCGCCATGAGTTTCCAAGGATGATGACCAGTGGCTCTGCAATCGCATCAGCCAACTCCCTCAGCACCCTCGGGTGCATCCCATCCAGCCCGTGCACTTGTTCACGTCCAGCTTTTCTAAAACCAACTCAGCATCACAGAGATGCTTAATGGGATCGTCTCGAGTAGACTGAGCACTGAGACTCATTGGGGAGAGCAGTTTTCTTTACTCTTTACTAATCTCTAGAGGAACCTCTGGGAACCCCATAAGATTTTGCCCCTAGTATAGTTCGTGGCCTGTTGCGACCTATTTATAAAACTTTTCTAAAATGAATATATTGCCTCAAATGGTATAGAATTAGCAGTAATAATCCCTATTCCATGATGATATCTTTGAGCTTTAACATATCTTTATATAGGTTTGTTTAAAAAAAAAAACCCAACAAAAAATAGGATTAAATTAAAAAAATCTGATTTCAATTTTAAAAAATGACTGATTTTTACCCACCCTGCTCCAAGCGGCGGAGAGGGATGTGCCTGGGGAATCAGAATCGGAGACGTCGGGCTGGCCGGGAGGTCGCATCTCGTCCAACCCCCGGCCTGAGGCAGGAGCAGCCCTGTCCAAACCGCCCCACAGAAACAAATCTGTGGTTCAACCTCTCAGCATACTACGGGATGAACCCTGTCGCACCAACACAAGGCAGGGCACCTGGACCTGCCCCCGGCAAAGCGGGGGGACAACGGCAGTCAGTGTCCTGCTGCTGAGAGGGTTAAAATGCACTCCAGAGACCCCAGTGTCCCCCACTACAGAGGAAGGCAACCCCCCCAGTCCGGACCAGTCTGAGCAGGGGGGACATTCCTTCCTGACCCCAGACATGGTGTTGGTGTGACCCTGAGCACAGGGGCAAGCCCCTCTAGCCAGGACCCTGCAGGGTTGGTGCCAGCTGAAGCGGTGGCACGGCACAGCCCAGCCCTGGCTGCAGCAGCACCCAGAGCTGCTTAAGAAAGGTTGGGGGGAAACCCCCCAAACCCCTGACATGTAGCAACAGGAGGGGAAAGGACTCCTTCCTGGCCCCACGCAGCAAGGCCCAGAGGTCTGGGAAAAACCAAATGCCCCCCACTCTGCTCTGCAGCCTGGGGACAGCCACACAGCAGCCCCCCTCAGGGGACAGCCAGGACCCCCCTCGTCTGTACCCCTCCATAATCTTATCCCACATCCTTTAACCGTCTTCCTAACTCGGCCAGTCAGGGAGCCCCGCTTCCTTCTGCTGCTGAGCCTGGTCCCCCCCCAACATCCACCTGCTCGGGGCTGCAGGGCTCTTCTCATGGTCTCCCAGCCATCCATAAGGGCGCGGGGCACGGTCCCGGGCTTCCATCGGCTGCTCTTTACAGAGCACTCCGGACATCGCGGCCCCGAGCTCATCCCTGCCCCAGCGGCTGTCCAACCTCTTCTTGAACCCCTCCAGCGATGGCGAGTCCAGCCCTCCGCCAGGCAGAGGCTGATCTAACGCTTAAACAGCCCACTCCTCCGGCCAGGGACCTGTCGGTTTTCATTTGTCTAGAAGGGGCTGTAAGCACCTGCGGCACTGCAAAAATAATCTTCCTAACGAGGG